ACCGTGCGGCCCGCGCTGCTCCGTTGCGCGACTTCCTACGGGCACGGCTTCAGAAGTTCTTCTTCCGACGCCATGGGACGCTCCTCGACCAGATCGATTGGCAGCTCATCTTCACCACGCTCAACCTGTGTCCCTGCTCCTGGGTATGGGCCACTCTGAGGACGTGGTGTGATGGCTGGCTTACTTCCTCTCGCATTCTTCACCCCGCAGGCAGGCGCGGCTGCGCCTTTGGATGCCGCAATTGTGTCGATTCGCTTCTCCACTACTGACGGTGTGTGCGGATCCATGCTGCGCTACGTCGTGCCCTCGGGCATGGTTTTCCCCTGGAGCTGGCCGAGAGGTGGGGCCTTGTGGCGCCCTCGACCGCCGCCTTCGGCTTCATCGCTGCCGCGGTGAGCATGTACAATGCGGCCCGTCTGATCCCCGACTGGCCGATCTCCGAGCAGGAAGCCCTTAGTGCCGCGCTGGCGGGAGTGAGGAGCATGCGGATGGCCACCACTGCTATCTTGCCCGACGACTCTCCACCGCAATGGAACATCCGTTCCATGACGCGACGGAGACGGTGCCCGTCCTCCTCCTCTTCGGCGTCTTCGGCGTCTTCCTCCACGCCATCTGGTGCTGACGAAGGTGGCGCGAACCAGGCTGGCGACCCTGGTCTGACGCCGATGCTGATCCCCGAGCCGCAGGATGTGGACTCTGACGAGGGCGACCTTGTGTCATTCGACCTCTGCCCGCGTACCCCACTGGCGACGCCTGGTACCCCATCGACGGCTGTGGCCACCCCTGAACGAGTTGGCCCTCTGCATGACCTGTATGACTGCGACTGGGTGCGGCCTACCTCCTGCGATGTCAGAACGCAAAGTCCTGTCAGAGGGTGCTCCTCGAGCCCGTCTGGCCAGGCTCTGGGAGGTTGTTGCGAAGTGGGGTCCCGTCCACCCACTCGGCTCAGAACGCAAAGTCTTGACGACGGGTGCTCCTCGAGCCCGTCGCCTCAGGCTCATGGAGTAAGTTGCGAGGGCGCCCCTGCTTTGGGGAGCGAGTCTCGGCCTGCGAGTTCCATCCAGGCTATCACAATTTGTGAGGATGACACTTTGGGATCTATTACGTCTCGTGCTGTCAGATGTTCGTCTCGCGGCTGGATCTGGTCGACGACCCCTGGGAATGCATCGTCTTGCTCGCTGGTGCGACCTCCTTCGGCCAAGAGGGCGGCTGCGGTCCCAATTGCACCGCCCACGTCGAGTGCTGCTCCCGCTGCGTGCCCAAGTCCAGTCTATTATCAGATGCAAGCCTGCGCCATAAATCTCGTCCGCGACGATCCACGCGATTGTCTTGCGAACCTGAGCCCCGCCAGCACTCCTGAGGCCCCACGCGTGATCCCTCTGGCCCCTTACACCTCGTGGCCATGCGCACGACAGGCCGAAACGTGCTCTCCTCGGCATCGGCGCTCGCTGTCGTTTTCTGATTTGGCTCCCCCTCCTGGTCCTTCGCTCGCGTTATCTGCCGCTGCTGTTGCTTGCCCCTCGCCTTCTCACTCTCCTCTCGTTGCGACGTTCACCGTCCCTGTCCAGCTGCCTAGCTGCTCGAATTCTGATCTTTTCTTGTCCACGGCTTCCAGCTCATCCTCTGCCGTTGCATTTAGCCCCCCGCCCGATATAAATTCGGCTGCGCTGGGCACTATCTTCAACCCGACGCTGGGCGCGGAGGACGCACCTGGCGCCCCGCCGCCCTCGTCCCTGCCCCCGCCGCCGTAGGTGGGAGGACACGCGGCCCCCCCTGCGCTCGTCTCCTCCTCCTCCTCCTCCTCCTCCTCCTCTCCTCCTCCTCCTCCTCTCCTCCTCCTCCTCCTCCTCCTCCTCCTCCTCCTCCTCCTCCTCCTCCTCCTCTCCCTCCTCCTCCTCCTCCTCCTCCTCCCCCCCCCCTTCCTCCTCCTCCTCCCCCCTCCTCCTCGCCCTCTTCCGCCGACCGGCCACGCGCAGGAAGGGGGCAGGGGGAGGGGGGGAGGGCGTCTTAGATGCATTTTTCGCGTCTTGGGAGGAGCGTGCCCTGTCTGTAGCTGTAGGGCCAGCGCCTTCTGAGGAGCAGCCTCCTTCTAGGAAGCCTGCCGCCCTCCCCCTGCCCCTCCCTCTGCGCGTGGCCGATCGGCAGAGGAGGAGGAGGAGGAGGCGGAGGAGGAGGAGGAGGAGGAGGAGGGGAGGAGGAGGGGAGGGGGAGGAAGGAAGAGGAGGAGGAGGAGGAGGGAGGAGGAGGAGGAGGAGGAGGAGGAGGAGGAGGAGGAGGAGGAGGAGGAGGAGGGGAGGAGGAGGAGGAGGAGGAGGAGGAGGAGGAGGAGGAGGAGGAGGAGGAGCATGAGGAGGGGGAGGAGGGGGAGGAGGAGGAGGAGGACCAGGCCCTCTTGGGGGCCTCGGGGGCGGCCTGTTCGGGGCCCTTCGAGGGCTCTGGAGTGCCTGTTGCTGCCCTCTGGGGGCTCCTCTGGCACCGACACCAAGGACTTTGTTTTCCTCCTCCTCCCCCTCTCCTCCTAATTGTTTCATGTCTCACATTGCATGAATCCAGACCTCAGATCCTAGAGGCCATGGCCTCACCCACCTGGTCTGCTCCAGGCCCGGACGCTGTCCGCAACGGTGGTCGCATCGCATCGCACTTTGGGGATATCTGAGGGAAGGTGGCGGGTATTGTGGGGACCTCTCTTGGGGCCCACTGGAAGGTTCGTGCTGCCGTCATGGGGGTTCCTCTTGGGCCGTCTTGGGCTCGCCTGGGCCGTCTCCGGGCCCCCCATCGGGGAAGCCTTTCGGCCGGTGTCGGGCGGGGCGGCCTCGCGGGTCGTCGTGGGTTGCCAAGAACCAAGGCCGAGCAGGCGAGGACACGAGCACCATTCAACACAACATGAAGGTCAATAATTATTTTGGTGGTGGTGTTAGGGGGGATGATATCATAGTATGGAGTTAGACAATCGAGTGTGATGTGTAGAAGTTATGCAGGAATTGGATGTGCGGGATACGTTGCATCAAGGTTTCCGCTCTGCTCCGCGACCTGCCTCTTGCAACACGGCCTTTCCGGACGTGGATCCCTCTCGCTTCGCGGGGTGAGCGTCTGGAGCACGTAAACACTGGGCGTCGAGTAGTTTGCCCTGCTCGTCTGCCGCGTCGTTCTGCCCGCCCCGGGGAGTTGCCGGTGCCACGGGGGGAGGATGCGCCCCCACCGTTTCAGCGCCGGGACGAGCGTGCGAGTGTCCAAGAGGGCAAGGGGCATTCACCGCGCGTCAGCACAAGGGGACGCCAAGCTCAAGTTCCGATGAGCATGGCAACAGAGCGCCATTCGTGTACCATTCCGCGGGTGTCTTGGTGGTCTCTTGGGGCCGGCCTCCTGGGGGCTTCTTGGGGGCCGGCCCCTTGGGGCCCCTTGGGGGGCCTCTTCTAGTTCTCTCGGGGCCCTTGGGAGGCCTCGTGGACCGTCGATGGGCGCTCTTGCGCCATCCGGCCCCTTCGGAAGCCGTCTTGTGGGCCTCTCGGGGCCGCCTCGTGGCTCTCTGGGGGTCCCCGTGCGCCGTTTTGGGGGCCTCTTGGGCCGTCAGGATGCCCCAAGATAGCCCCAGACGGCCCCAACAGCCCCCAGGGTAGCCTCAAAAGATCACGAGGACCGCCCCCTTCTTCGACGTCCTGTTGCGCGGGCGCCTTGCCGTCCTCCTTCTTCCTCCTCCGTCTCCTCCTCCGCTTCGTTCCTCCTCGTGCTCGTCCTCCTCCATCTCTTCCTCTTCGTCCTTCTGCGTTTTTTCCCACTCGTTGTCCTCCTGCTCCTCTAGCTGCCCTCCCCGTCATCCACGCTGTCATCCCCGTCATCCGCCGCCTTGTCGTCACCATGATCCTTTTTTTTACCAGTATGGCCAGCCATAAATCCAAACGTCAAGCATAGGTTTCCCATCGCATCAGTAGTCCCGTGGGCATCCATGAAAGTTGTCATCTTGGGATCGTCTTGGGGTTCTTGAGATCATATTTGGATCGTATCGGCATTGTGGGGGGCCAACGTTGCATCGCCTCGGGCCCATCTGGAGGCCTTTCGCGTAACAGGGATGTTTGCTCTTGCTTCTGTAAGCAGCATGTAATAATTGCACGTGGACCCGCAGCACAGAGCAGCGGCAGGTGGTGTGGTAAGACCACGTTGACGCCATGAATGCCACGCAGGAAAACACACGGGCGGGAGCGGCTGTAATCCTTCCAAGCGGACCCCGTTAGACGGGCTATGAGCTGGAGGTGTACGTATGCGTTGGTGTAGACAGCCTTGCGCCTGCGGATCATTGGCGGAAGTCAGTTGCTGGAGAGTGCAGTTGGTCGGCATGAGGCGTGAGATCCAGCTGAGAACTGGAAGCTTGCATGCAAGATTGCAAATAGCATGTGTTCAAACATTCAAATGTTGCGAATGGTCGCCAATAAAATATATTTTTATTGGCAATCTTGCAAGGTTGCAATATTGCAAATAAAAGAATGCGAGGTATTGATTTGCAAGCTGGCAGACGACCGCGCCCGATATAAACATTAAGTGTATCAGTTGCCGTGTCAGCAGATCAAGGTTCTGTGGCAGGCAAGCTCGATCCGGGTAATGGGACGGCGTATTTGGCAGCCTGCCTTACAAATAATACCCGCTGTGTGAGAAAGACAGCACAGATAAGGAAGGTTCGTGTCGTGTCGACCTGCGCCAACCCCGCCGCCAGCGTTCAGCGTTGAACGCCGCGGGCGACCCAGAATCGTTTGATGTGGAACGAGTTGATGTTTCGGAACCGGCCGATCGTTCAAGGTTGAAGGATCCTCGCGATGTCGGAAACTAACGCCGAAGTCGGCACGACACGAACTTGCTGTATATGCTACGAGATGGTGAGTGCGGGTGTGCATGCTATGGCATTCGTGCTGTGTTCAATCGTTGGAGTGGGGCGTGATGCGTTTGCGCACATTGCGAGCAAGCGTCATCGTTGGCATTATCTGTTTGTCCCTTCTTACGCGCGCTTGCAGGCGGATGGACCTCGTGTTTGGGAATCGTTCTGGCTCGTCATGCCCAGCGCACGTCTTCCAGAAGCACCTTCCGCTGCGACCTTGCTGGGCGCGAGGCAGCAAGCTGCATGGAGACCGTTCGCTTCCCTCCTCTCCTCCCCTGTATCCTTGCCGCCTTCCCCTCCGATCAATGATGGCGAAGAGCACCAGTTATGTTTCCCCGGCGAAGTCTTGCCCGTTACGTGGCACGCAGCCAGACATGTCCTACGCTCCTTGCTGCTGCCCTCGTGAGGGACGAGCTTTCCAGATTGTGCTCGGGATCTCCTTGCCTGTCAGTTCCTCTTTTCGTTGTGTGTTCTGTCTGACGCGCATTAAGCATTAATCGTAATAGCGGCCCTCTCCCAATGCTGACCCAATCCAGGGAGTCATACCACAGGTATGCGTTAATCGCCACGGCGACGGCGAGGACGAGAGACTAGAACGAACACCTACCAATACAAATTCCGAGACAGCGTGAAGTCCATGTCGCACATCTGTGTTTGCATGCTTGCGCTGCACTTCAGGTTGAAAACGTGCTGGCAAACAGGCCGTTTTACATAATCATTTTGTGATCGGTTTCTTATTCATTATTTTACCGATCGGCGCGAGCCCTCGCACCCCCCGATCCCCTCCCCCCCAATAGAGTAGATCTTGGCTGTTTTTGGCGCCTGTTTCGAGCAGACGGAGTCTCCCCCATAGGACGCACTGTTGCAAACAGTCGCATCAAGCAGAGGTCCGGAGCCAGACACCCCCTCTCCCCCCCCCGCTTCCGCCCAATGTCGAAACGCCGAATAAGAAAACGTTGAACTTGCTGTTTGGGAGTAGGAATACATTTGGTGTGGATGTTTTTGCCAATCGTTTTTTTCTTTCAGAGACGTGCGAGTTTGGGAACCACGAGGCTCATATTCCAATGCATTCCGAGACCGTTTTTATTTGAGCGTGATTTCGGTTTTCCGTGCCTCGGAGCCGTGTATACGTACGTCTCACGGTAGAGGCGGGACGGTGAAGCCCAATTCGGGCACCGCGCAGTCTTGCTCTTTGAGTCTGTATCATGTGGAACCAGACCAATGTTAGGCTCAAGCTCGTCATATCTAAGACGCCTACGCCGAATCACCGCCGCCCCCTGCCTTCTTGGAAGCACCTATGTGGCCGAACGTTGAGGCCAGACCTGCCAAGCTATCGGACCATGTGTTCCCCGAATATGTTTGGAAAGCCTTCGGGAACACGTGGGCATCTTGAAGGTCATCTTGGCCGTCTGGAGGCTATTTCGACCCTTTCGGGCCTTCTTGGAGGACGTCTTGGAGGGCTCTTGGGCCGTCTTGGAGGCCATCTTGAGCGTCTTGGAGACCTCCTGGGCCGTCTTGAGGGCCTCTTGGGGCCGTGTCTTGGGCTTCTTGGGCGATCTTTGGGGGCATTTGGGCCGTCTCGGGCCGTCGGAAGGCCGAAATAAAGCAAATGCCACAATCCTGCCAAAACTCATGAGAAATCATGATTCGGGTCTTTTCACGCCTTTCTGGAGACCCTCTTGGAGGCCTCTTGGGCCGTCTTGGGCCATCTTAGGGCCATGTTCGGCCGTCTTGGTGGGCTCCTGGTCCGTCTGACGCCGTCGGAAGCCGTTTGGGGGGCCTCTATGGGCCGACTTGGGGCCCTCTTGGAATGCTCCAGGGCCGTCTTGGAGGCCATCTTGGGCGTCTTAAAGGCCTCCTGTGCCGTCTTGGGGGCCTCTTGGGGCCGTCTTGGGGCCCTCTTGGGCCGTTCTGGGGCCATCTTGGAGGCCTCTTGGGCGATCTCTTGGCGATCTTTGGGGGCTCTTGGCCGTCTCGGGCCGGCGGAATGCCGAAAAGAAGCAAATGTCAAAATCCGTCAAAAACCATAGGACAATCAATGTTTTTGGCCTCTTGGGAGCCTCTTGGGCCGTCTTGGGCCAGGTTCGAGCCAACTTCGGCTATCTTGGTGGGTTCCTGGCACGTCTCACGCCGTCGGGAGCCGTCTTGTGGGCCTTCTGGGCCGACTTGGGGCCCTCTTGGGGCGCCTCGGGGCCCTCTTGGAGGCCATCTTGGGTGTATTGGAGGCCATCTTGGACGTGTTGGAGGCCTCTTGGGCCGCCTTGAGGCCCTCTTGGGGCCGTCTTGGAGGCCACTTGGGCCGTCATGGGGCCCTCTTGGGGGCCTCTTGGGCGTTCTTGGGGGCCTCTTGGGCCGTCTTGAGCCGTCGGAATGCCGAGAAGAAGCAAATGCCAAAATCCTTCAACAACCTAAGGAAAATCTATGATTTTGGCCTCTTCGGGCCCTCCTGCTCTTGGAGGCCTCTTGGGTCGTCTTGGGCCGTCTTGGAGGCTTCTTGGGCGACCTTGGAGGTATCTTGGACTCTCTTGGGCCGTCTTGGAGGCCGTTTTGGACCATCTTGGGCGGATTTGGAGGCCATCTTGGGCCATCTTGGAGGTCATCTTGGGCCAACGTGGCCATCTTGGAGGCCATCTTGAACCATCTTGGAGGATGTTTTTCCGGATTGAGCTCCTTGAGATCCTTTCCGGGTGGCCGGTGGGACAGGCCGAACCCCAGGGGGAGTTCTTTTGGAAAAAGAGCCAAAACCAAAACCGAGAGGGTCCAGCACGCCAGGCACCCCTTTGATAAATCAAAAGGGGGCGGCGGATCGAATGGCCTTTGGCCCATCCCGCCAGCGTGCCTGGGTTGTGGGGATGAAGCCTTTTGGATGTTCGTGGGAGGCTTCTCGTGGGCCTCTTGGAGGCAGTTCGGACGCCTCTTGGGGCCCGTTTGGGGACCTTTTAGGGGCCTCTTGGAGCCTCCTAGGCGCTTCTCGGGGCCTCCTGGGGCCTCTTGGTGCTGAAGGCTTGGATCTTCGGTTCGCGTTCTTTCTTTGGGATTCATTTGGGGGCCGTCTTTGATCCCTTTTGCGCCGTTTTGGGCGCCTCTTGGGCTGTCTTGATGCCCTCTTGGTCCGTTTGGGGGCCCTCTTGGAGCCCTCTTGGAGGCCTCTTGGGTCGTCTTTGGACGGTCTCGGGGCCTCTAGGGCCGTCTGGGAGCGTCGGGGAGCAGAAGATGGCAAGAACGCCACATTTTTTCAAACACCTAAGCAACATCAATAATTGTGCCCCCTTGGGGCCCTCTTGGGTGGCCTCTTGGAGGCCTCTTTGGGAGTCTTGGAGGCCGCTTGGGCCGTCTGAGGGCCATCTTGAGCGTCGTGGAGCGATCGCACGGCGACCCGGAGCCTCCTTGGACCGTCTCGGAGCTTCTTGGCGCCCTCTTGGCCCGTCTTGGGGCCCTCTTGGGTCCGAATCCGTCACGCGACTAGACGCGGGGGGACCGCGAACCGACGCGGACCGCCCCGGAAGCTTTGGCCCGAGTGTCTCCGAGCCCGTTAAGGGGGCCTCAGGTATAACGACTGAGGCTCAGAGGGGTCGTGGAAGGACCTGAGGACACGCCCATTCCGTGCCCAGCGGCACGGTGGCGGATACTCATCATCCAGGTCCAAGCGGCATCAATTTGTTTTGATGAGTTGTCTTGAAGGCTTCGCAGCGCGATGCCTAAATTGTGTCTTCGATTAGGTCCAGTGTTCGTCGATATACATGCTGGACGGAAGGCAGGGAATCCCGCATCCAAGAGATTGCTTATGAGTGGCCCAGAATTGCCAGGTGTTGGTGCACGCACTGGCACCGAGGAGGAGGAGGAGCCCTCTCCGATGGAGATGGCGGTCGCCGCCGCCTGCCATGCGGGCATGAATTAGTCGAAGCCGAATTCCCGTGGAATCTCTGAGCGAGGGGATGCGATCATGCGTACATTGACGAGGCAAAGAGAACAACAGTTCTTGCTTACAGTGTAGTGTCGCCGGCTTGCCAGTTTCGATTGGTCGTTCAATGATGCAAGTCTTCATCATTTGACCTTCTCATGTCCTTCTGCGCGATTCTCTAGTGTGGGTGGTGCCCAGCTGGCCTCGAACATCAGCACCTTCCATCCGACAGAATTTTTATATATCCCCCAAAAGGCAGTGCATGAGAGAAGAAGGTACGTGTTTGAAGTATTGGCCTGCTTCCTAAGAGCACGGTTAAAGAAAGACAAGCGTTTCCAAAGATAATGATGACGTTTCATGGCAAGCCAGCGCAGGTGACACAGGCTTAGATGGCGGCTTCGAAGGGATAAGGAGGACTATGAGGTGGGAGGAGGGGGTGGATGCGGGGGTGAGGTGGGGTGAGGTGAGAAAAATGCCAACTCAGCTCCCTCCTTCGCTCCGTCCGACCCGTCCCTTGGATTAAGATGCCCTGGCAGGTGCGACGCAGAATGCAAGCAGCACCCGGCGCACTCTTGAGGCCGTGAGGACTATTGGTCCCCATATCTTGGGATGGGTTTCTTGCTATTCCCACCCTTCCGTTCTTGGGTATTCGGTTCCAATGGAGCACTACAGTCGCACAACTCCTCCCGCCCCCCTTCCTCCTCCTTCCTGCCTCCTACTCTCTGCTGTTTGCTTCCTGTTGCCTCCCTCCTGCCCTATACCTCTTCCTCCTTTCACTTCTTCGCGGGCTCCTGGGAGGCACGGCAGGGCAGCAGAGTACGCGCATCCGGGCGGGACCTCGCAGCTTCCTGCGTGGTTGCGATTTGTGCGAGTGTCACTGCTTTCGTGGGCTACCGGGAGGCACGGCGGAGAAAGGGAGTGCCTGAGACCTCGCAGCTCCATGGGTGGCTGCGAACTGCGCAATTGTCGCCATTTTCGTGAGCTCCTGGGTTGCACGGCGGAGTAGCGGACCCAGGCGAAACGTTGCAGCTCCCTGGGTGGTTACGAGCTGCGGAATTGTCGCCACTTTCGTGGGCTCCTGGGGGGCAGGGCGGAGTAGTGGGGTAAGGGCATCCAGACGGGATCGCGCAGCTTCTTGGGTGATTGCAAATGTCGCCATTGGCGCTATTTTCGCTGGCTCCTGGGAGGCCCATAGGAGTCGGGGGCCACGCGCAACCAGACGAGACTTCGCTGCTCCCAGGGTGGCTGCGAACTGCGCAACCGTCGCCACTCTCGAGGGCTCCTGAGAGGCCCAGTGGTGTCGGGGGCCACGCGAACCTACTTGAGACCTCGCTGCCCCCCCAGGAGGCTGCGAACTGCACAGTTGCCACCGTTTTCGTGGACTCCTTGGAAGTCCAGCGGGGTCGGGGGCCACGCGGGCGCATAATCATTTGGGATGCTGCCTGGGTGGCTCCGAGCTGCGCAGCTGTCGCCACTTTCGAGGTCTCCTGGGAGGTCCAGCGGAGTCCGGGGCCACGCGGACCCCGCCGAGACCTCACAGCTTCCCAGGAGGCTACGAACGGCGCACCTGTCGCCACGGCCGTGGGCTCCTGGGAGGCACGGCTGAGAGAAGGGCAGCCTTGGTCGTACAAGTCTAGCGATCTGGTCCGTCGTTTCGCTTCGAAACAATGTTCTCGTCATGCGTACCCCAACCCTCGTGTGTTGGTTATCGTGTTGCGTTCATGTGTTGGAGCGTTCACACAACTATTCGCTTGCGCTGCAGCACGGCGGAGTAGCGGAGTACGCGGACTCAGTCAAGATCTTGCAGCTTTTTGGGTGGTTGCGAACTGCGCAATCGGCGCCTCTTTTGCGGGCTCCCTGGGCTGCAAACTGCGCAATTGTTACCACTGTCGTGGGCTCCTGGGAGGCACAGCGGAGTGGCGGAGTACCCGAGACCTCGCAGCTCCTTGCCGGGTTGCGAATTGAGCAATTGTCGCTTCTTTCGTGGGCTCGTGGAAGGCACGGCGGAGTAGCGGAGCCAGCCGAGACCTCGCAGGTCTTTCGGTGCTTGCGAACTGCGCAATTGTCGCTATTTTCGCTGGCTCCTTTGGGGGCACGGCGGAGTAGCGGAGTACCCGAGACCTCGCAGCTCCCCGGGGGATGCGAACTGCGCAATTGTCGCCATCTTCGTGGGCTCGTGGGAGGCCCAGCGGAGTGGGGGAGCACGCAGACCGAGCCGGGACCTCGCGGTTCCTCGGGGGGGTGCGCAGTGCACAATTGTTGCAATTGTCGTGAGTTCTTGGGGGATCCAGCGAAGTAGAGTGTTCTTACAGCCTTTCGTTTGTATGGAGCGTTCTGTTAACTGGTCGATTCGCGTTTAGAAGGGGCTGGGTACGTCTCGGGGAATGTTTTGACGTCTCTCTTCCTCGCATCCTCCCTCTCCTCCTCCTCCTCTTCCACTCTCACACTCAGACTCAGACTCACTCATTCTCAGACTCACCAGCGCTCAGACTCACCCATACTCAGACACACACACAGACTCACTCAGACTGAGACTCACTCATACTCAGATTCACTCACACTCAGACTCACTAACACTCAGACCCACCCATACTCATACTCGCTCATACTCAGACACACCCACACTGGCTCAGACTCACACCCGCTCAGACTCACTCACACTCAGACTCACTCATGATCATATTCACTCACACTCAGTTTTACGCACACTCAGGGTCATTCATATTCAGACACACACACACACTCAGACTCACTTACACCCACTCACACTCAGACGCTCTCACACTCAGACCCTCGTTCGCACCCAGGGTGCAAGGATGTCAGGGGCGAGGCGCTGGTTTCAGCGATCCCAAGGGGAGCCGCCACGGGGTATATCAAGAGCCCGTTCTCGCCCAGATCGTGGGGATATCTCAGGCGGTTTGTTCGTTTTGGTCGCCAGGCTCGTCTGCTCTCAGAGCAAAGTGTGAGGATATCTCAGGCGAGGCGCTGGTTTCAGCACGCCCAAGGGAGAGCCGCCTGGGGGTGTATCACTTCCCCGTGAGCGCTCAGATTGTGGGGATGTCTCAGGCTTTTTGCTTGTTTCGGTGGCAAGACTCGCTTGCGCTCAGAGCATATGGTGAGGATGCCTAGGGCGAGGCGCTGGTTCCAGCACCTCTAAGAGGGGTGCCAGGAGGTATATCACGGGCCCCTTCGCGCCCCGGTTGTGGGGATGTCCCTCGGGCGGTTTGTTTGTATTGGTGGCCAGCATCCCCTACTTTCGGAGCAGGCTTTGAGGATGTCTCAAGCGAGGCGCTTGTTTCAGCACCACAAGGCGGGGGTGCCAAGGGGTATCGCATTTCCCCGTTCGTGCCCAATGTGTGGGGATGTCTCCGGTGGCTTGCATGTTTCGGTGGACAGACTCGTCTGCGTTCAAATCAGATGGTGAGGATGTCTCAGGCGGGGCACTGGTCATCACAGACTCACTCTTCCGCACGAAGACTCAGCCACAGCAGTTCCTCCTCCAGATTCTCCCAGACTCAGCTTCATTCAGACCCACTCGGGGAATTTACCTCAGACGCACTCTCACTCATACACAGTCAGACTCTAGCACTCCGACACATTCTTTCTCATTCAGACGCGCTCAGATTTTTCTGGTGGTCCACTGCTCTCCGCCACATAGCAGGCGTGACATTTGGGAACCTTAGGGGGCAGCCACTCCAGGATTCGCGCCTAGTTTGTGGGGACTGTCCCCAACATCCTCTGCTTTTGGAGCAGAGTGTGAGGATGTCTCAGGCGAGGCGCTGCTTTAAGCACTCCCAAGGGGGAGTTTCCAGTGGACATATCCTTCCTCGTTCGCGCCGTCGCTCTTGCCCCAGTTGTCTACGCGGAGTCGCCCTCACACACAGAAGCTCACAGACAGAGTCCCTTAGCGAGACGTGCCAGGAGTATGAGATGCACATATGGGGATATTCGCGTCGAGTAGTTGTCTGCGTCTTTCTACCGTCCCGATCAAATAGATTGGGATGCAACTTCTGGGAGATTCGATTCAGCATCGCCGCTGGTGCATCCGTGGTCGAAACTTGGGTCCGGGCTGGCACTATCCCACGCAATCCGTTCGAATCCTGGTCCAAGCTGAGCTTACATCCGACTCTGGCGCAGTGGCCTCTCGATCTGGCTTGGCAGCTCTCCCCACGAAGACCCACCAGGAGTGGTCTCCTCGTGTGCAACCGCCCCTTTCCTCGGCAGTCCTCCCGCAGAGGTCCCCCAGGCAGAGGCGCCCCTTTCCCCCCACAACGCGCCCCGGCCTCGATCCTCTATCCTACTCCTCCTCCAGCCTCGATCCTCGATCCTCGACCCTTCAAATCCACTCCCCGCCCCGTTCCCACCTTGTACAACCGCTCCCGCGCGACCTCGCGCCCCCCAGAAAAGGCCCCCAAACCTCGATCCTCTATCCCCTCCTCCTCGTCCTCCTCCTCCTCCTCCTCCTTCTCCTCGAGCCTCGATCCTCGATCATCGACCCTTCGAGTCCACTCTCCGCCCCTTTCCCCCCCTTCACCCCCAATCTCGCTCCTCTATCCTCCTCCTCCTCCTCCTCCTCCTCCTCCTCCTCCTCCTCCTGATCCTCCTCCTCCTCCTCCTGCTCCTCCTCCTCCTCCTGCTCCTCCTCCGCCTCCTCCTCCTGACCCTCCTCCTCCTCCTCCTCCTCCTCCTCCTCCTCCTCCTCCTCCCCCGCCTCCTCCCTCCTCCTCCTCCCCTCCTCCTCCGCCTCCTCCTCCTCCTCCTCTCCCCTCATCCTCCTCCCCCTCCCCTCCTCCTTCTCCTCCTCCTCCTCCTCCTCCTCCTCCTCCTCCTCCTCCTCCTCCTCTTGCTCTACCCTCGACCCTTCGAATGCATTCCCCGCCCGTCCTCCATCTCTTGTGGCCAGGTCGAGGAGCAGAGGCTGGTGATGTTCCCAGGCTCGGTGGGAGGGGGGGAGGGGGGCGCTGCCCGACGGAGGCAGGCGAGAGGCAGAGGCGGAGGAGGAAGAGCAGCAGGAGCAGGAGGAGAGAAAGAGGCGGAGGCGAAAAAGGAGGAGGAGGAGGAGGAGGAGGAGGAGGAGGAGGAGG